TCTTTCTCACTTTCCCTCTCTCTCTCTGGTCAAATTAAAATAAATGAAAGAACAAATAAAAAAATAAGTAAAATAAATAAATAAATACATGAAAAAACTGGATTAAAAATATATATATACATATATATACATATTATAAGAGCAAAGACCCTTCCTAGAACTCCCCTCCCTACCAATTACTGCCTCATCTCACTATTCCCTACTGCGAAACTCTATGGAGAGTTGTGTATTCTCACTCATGCACATGCTTGGGGTTTCACCTCCCAAGACCTCAGAGTACGTCAGGCACTGTGCCCATGATTAGAGGCTAGCTAAGCACCAGAAGGACTGCAGCATCAGAACCCTGCTGAGGGTACTCTCTACCTTTGTGTCTCTCTTGCTTGCTCAATGAAGAAATAAAAACAAATTAAAAAAAAAAAAAAAGAAATCCTAGTTGTTGATCACCTAGTTTTTCCCTGTGACCACAGGTACAGTTGATCTTTTATCCTGGACTGTAACCTCATTCCTTCTAAGTCTCTTCCTTTTGTACCATAAATTCAAATATCTACTGCTCCTCTCCAAATCCGTTCCTCTCTGCTCTAATAAATTTCCTCTTATATTTTGTCTTACTGCCCTGCTCTGAATTTACACCTTTGTCTCAAGAATGCCAATGCTTCTAAAAATATTCCATTGCTCTTGGATTAAGAAGCTCAGGCAATTTCTTCCTGAAAATGGGTTTCATTCCTTATTTTCTGTGTGAACAAACATACCTTGAATTGCTTCACACCCTAAATTGTGCACAGGCTCCGTTAGACAGTGTGTCAGGGCTCTGACCTCTCATGCTTGTGTTCCCATACATGGCAAGCTCACTTAAAAACACTGGATTCATTCATTCATTCATTCACTCAACCAGCAAGCAGCAAATAGAGGACATCGGCAGAGAGAGGTATGTAAGTTCAGTTTTCTGTCCTGAAGAAGCTTATATTGCAGATTAAATAGAGAATCAGGGGCAGTACAGAAGAGGGAGCATCTGGGTGTACATTACACAGAATGAATGTTTAGGACACAGTTGTGTTTGTCTATTCCAGACAGAAAGTGATTGAAGTATCCATGGGAGTTTGATTCCAGGACCTCCACAGACATTTGAATCCCCAGTTAGTCAACTGAATCTCAGGCTGTGAACCCACTGATAAAAAGGACTGACCTTTTTTTTTTTTTTTTAGATTTTTGACATAGGGTGCATGACTTACTGGAGCAGGACAGAGAGAGACAGAAAGAGACAGTGAAAGGACAATGAGAAATCATTCCCCAGGGGGTATGGCCATGCTGCAGCAGTCCCTTCTCCATTCTCCTCCAGGGATTATGGGCATGCACACACATGCACCTGGCATGATTTTCAAGCCACCAGATCTGGGACTCAAACTGTTGTCAGTCATGTGGGAGTACAGCACCTTAACTACCATGCTACCTGCTGGCCCCGAGGACTATTTTAACAAAAGTAAAAGCACACTCAGTGATGTGTACGTCAGTCTTTCTACAGCTCCAACTGGTTAGTTCCTGGGACCTATGCATTCCATATTACTGGAAACCTTAATTTTTTTTTCTTTGTACAGTAAATAAAGCATACCTTGCCCAGTTTTTAAAACATCCTTATTCCAAATCTGGAAATCTCTAAACATCTGCCTTTGCCAAGAAACAAGTTCTCTATAGAGACAAGTTATTTAGAAAATCAAATTCTCTCGTTATTTAAGTGCTAGATTAGTTTTTCTTCCATATCACTCATTACTGCTCGATTTCCTCTTAGTGCCTCTACTGTGTGTGCCTCTCACTGTCCTGCACCCAAAGACGATGCTGGGATCCGGAAACACAGCAGCCATAACAAACCTGCCTATCATCGCAGTGAAAAGGCTGAGGAGAAGGTTAAAACTGAAGTTGAGGGATTGTGTATTGCAAAGTGCTTTGGTTCATTAAACAGTCATTTTTTTTTATTTTAAAGCCACTATATCAGAGTTATTTGCATTGTTACTGCATAAACTCTGAGATCTATTGTATTCAAAAATGTTTTATTATGTTATTTTATTTCCCCCTCCCCCAAATGATAAATATACCTTTGACTTTAAAATAAAATTCTTGGGAAACAAGTATTTAGTATACAGAAATTCACCTGGTCAAAAAATACCAGGACTAGACCCACATTTAATGTGCTCTTGTATTTCTTATTGATCCTCCAGCAAATACATTTTTATCTTTTGAGTGGGAAGTCTCTCACCTTATCGTATCCAGAAAGGAAAATACATGGTGTTAAGTAAGCAAGCAAAGCAAAATGACTGCATAACTAGGTACTGTAGAGGACACTTACCTGCTTCGCACAGCAGCCTACTTGCCAGCCACTTGAAGCCTTAGAGAGGACTGGTGACCAGAGTCAGATCACGCCCTCCCTCCACTGCAAAGCCAGTCCGCATAACCGGACACTTACCACTCGCCTTCGGTTCTGCATAGGTGGGGCCGTCCTCGAAGGTGAAGATCTGGGACATGCTCTGGCCCAGGTAGGAGGGAGGCGGGTAGTAAGAATGCATCCTGTACTGGGAACTCACTGCGTGGCGGTTCTCCGAGTTTTTCATCTGCTTTTTAAGAAAAAAGAAGGACTTAGCTAAGACCAAAGTAGCATGTACAGCTATTACAAGAAATGCCCCCCCCACACACATTCTGTACATATATAAATGTGTGTGTATGTGTGTATTTACAAGGTTTCTGTCACAGAGCATGCACACTTGCCAGAGAGAAAGTGAGAGAAAAAGTAAGAGTCACCTCTTTGGGAGATGGCCACACTGTAATCCCTTCTCTCCATTCTCCTGGGGTTTAGGGCATGAATGTACATGTGTTAGTGTGATTTTCAAACTGCCAGGTCAGGGACTCGAACTGTGGTTGGTCATGTGGGAGTCTAGCACCCCAGCCACCAGGCCCACTTACTAGCCCTATTTATACTGCCTTTAAAACATTAAATTTGGAGAGGGCTTGTATGACACCGGGGTGGCTGAATGTTCATCAGCAAGTCTTAAAGATGCTGCCCAAAGGAAAAAGAGGTTCTAGAAAAGGGAGTAAAGGGGAGCAGTGTGCTGACAGGAAGGCTCAGGGTCCCAAAGGTGGTGGCGATGCAATGAAGGTCAGACACATTCTACGTGAAAAACACGGCAAATTATGGAAGTCATGGAAAAGTGAAAGTCTGGAATGAGATTCAATGACGTGGTCACACAATATAGTGAAGATAAAGCCAGGCAAGGCGGCGACTTGGGTTGGAAGACCAGAGGGTCCATGGCGGGACCATTTCAAGAAGCCGTATTGGCCTTGCCTGTCAGTGGGATGGAGAAGCCTGTGTTTACAGGCCCACCAGTTAAGACAAAAATTGAATATCATATTATCATGATTGAAGAAAATAAAATCCTATGAAAGACTGAAAAAAAACCCAAACATTAAATTTAGATGCTATGTACTTTGAAATAAAAGTCAATCTAAGGGAATGTTCAAGATAAACAAGACAAACCAATTCTGTTCAGGATTAAGAAATAATTTAAAAATCAAGGTACTTTTATTTATTTTTTTAGGTTTTTGCCGCAGGGTGTGTGCACTTGCCAGAGAGAATGAGAGAAGAAAAGCGAAAAATTGGCCCCCTAGGGGATGGCCATGCTGTAATCCTTCCTCCTTCTTCTCCCAGGATATTGGGCACACACACACCCATGCCCAGCTTCAGTTTCAAGCCGGGTCCAAGACTGGGTCTAAGGCTCGAACCATGATTGGTCATGTGGAAGTCCAATGACATAATCACTACACCATCTGCTTTTCTGAAGTACATAAAATGGCATCTCTTTTAGGTCCATCAACCCATTTTCCACCATCATGTACATTTTTACTAAATAAGAGGTCACACCAACTGTGAGGGGGTCTTCAACAAGTTCACAAAAATGCTATTATGAAAAACCTATACATGTGGGACCAGCAATTGGCATAATGGCTATGTTACTGGATTCCTATGCAGTCGACTATGGTTCAAGTCCTGGACCCAGTGGCTTAAACTCACACCAGGCACGTGTGCATGTGTGCCCAAGATCCCGAGAGGAGACTGGAGGAGGAACAATTGTGGTATGGCTATCCTCCCTGAGGGGTTATTTCTTGCTTTCTGTCTCTCTGTCTCTCTCTGTTTTTCTAGTGAAGGCACACACCCTATAGAAAAAAACCTCTCCAAAAAAAAAAACCCACCACACATGGATTTCAACTTTTTTTCTTTTTGCACCAAGAAAAACTCATACATTAATTTCATTTTCCAACAATTTCTTGAAGTCCCCACATACACTTGGAAATTAGCCAAAGAAGAAACAGGAAACACTAACTACTACCCTGACAAGCGAGCCCGGGTCTGCAGTCCATTCGGGAGCCACAGTAGACACGCTCATCGCTCTGATTTGACCATCACGCGTGCAGTGAAAAGCCACACTGTACTTTGTAAATATGTATAACTATAGAAGTAGATTAGAAATTACAGTAGTGGTTTACTACTCAAAATCCAGTAAACAGTAAAACGAGTGCTTCCTAGCATACTTTTTTTCCTTTTTGGTTTTCGCCAGATAGCACATATGCTCACTGGAGACAGAGAAAGGAAAGGTGAGAAATAACCTCCCCCCAAGGGGGATGGACATGGCCACACTGCAATCCTTTCTCCCCCATTCTCCTCTTGGGATCTTGAGAGTTTAAGTCACCAGGACCGGGACTCGAACCACAGTCGACTACATGGGAGTCCAGCGACATAGCCATTATGCCAACCGCTGGTCCCCGCCCCAGCATTCTCTTAACATACACATGGGGGCCAAGGGATTCTGCTAAAAATGCAGATCTGAGGCTCTAAGTCTGTGGTGGCACCCAAGAGTCCGACAAGCTCCCTGGAGCTGGCCTATAGACCTCACTCTGTGACAAGGCTAGAATAAACAATCCTGCCTGTCATGTCTAGCACCTCTGTAAGCCTGTGACCAATGGAAGGCCTTCTAAAAAAACTCTTTTAGCCAACTGTTTACCACTATCAAGTTTCCACCTAAACTAGGAGAAGTTGGAAATTATGTATATAGCTATTTAAAATTTTTGTTCATTTTCTTTTTGGATATAAAACTTCCCAGAGCTAAGAGACTTTTTCCAAAGGTCTCCTGCCATCTGAAATTGCCATCATGGTCACACCAAACCCCCAAACATGTTCAACTGAATTGCTGATTCTGCCTCCACAGACTTTGCCCAAGTCAATTACACAGTCTTGAGTAACAGACATTGAGGGAGAGGTCTCTTAACTACAGCATGGTGTATTACAAGGGTCAGCAGGTGGCATGGTGGTTACAGCACTGGATTCCCATATGGCCCACTGTGGCTCAAGTCCTGGACCTTATAGCTTACTTTCTCTCATCAAATTTTTTAAAAATGATAATATCAAAACAGCAGAAATGGCCAAAAAGGAAGTATTATAGATTTTGCAAGCCGGAAAGTCTCTAGGCAATTGGCAAAACAAAGGGGCAGGGCTATGTCTCGGCAAAACCTTATTTATAATAATGTGCACTGCTTCTCAATCTTTACTCCCACTAGGATAAGGAGAGGAGGTGATAGAGCAGTGCTGGGCTCCACCCCTCAGGAATCTGATTTAACTGTTTCAGGGTGTAGCCTGGGCTGGGAGTCTTTTCAATGCTTCCCAGGTAATGTGGACATAACTGAGAGACTGAGAACCAGTACTCTACAATTACCAACCATCTTCCAAATACCTGAGAAGCACAACATCCCAACAGCCCCTGTACGAACTAAAAACTGCAACGGTTAAGTCTGACAAACGGACTGGTCACTGCTGCCAATCCCAATGTATATATTATTTGAGGAAAGATCCAGACAAATGGTACAGTTCTTTCAAAAAAAAAAAAAAACTAAACTAAAAATCTTACTGGCTAAGAAACAATTTCAAATCCATTCATATGCTTATTCCCCTAATTACTCTGCTTTTACGAAGCACTGAATAACGAATATTATTTGGAAATATTGATAGCAACTGGGTTATTAGTTCTCACTCTGAATTTCCCCCAATGAACCTCCAAGATCACCATGCTACAAGACTTTCAGCAGAAGAAAAAGATAAAAGGATGAGACTCCATCTGATGTCTGTACCCATCTGTGAACTTACTGAGGTCATCAGTCACTTCAGCTACATCCACAAATAACCTTCCACGTGACACTTGCACATAAAGAACAAAAGGGCCATGTGTGTTTCTAAGCATGTGCATAAACCTCTGAACTGTGAAGGTAAACTTGAGAGCCATCACAGGTGATGTGGTGGGAATCACTACTCTGGGCCAGCTGAGACTGGGAACAGACTGCAGTGCGAAGACCCTGTTAGAGGGGTTCCTGTCTCTCTCTCCCTCTTATGGAAGAAATAAACTTTTTTTTTTTTTTTTTGGAAAGGTTTTTTTTGCTACCGGGTGCATGCGCTTGCCAGAGAGACAGCAAGAGACAAGAGATACAAAAAGCAAGAAATCACCCCCTAAGCAGGATGGCCATGCCACAATCCCTTCTCCTCCACTCTCCTCTTGGGATCATGGGCACGCACGCACACGTGCCTGGCGTGAGTTTAAGCCACCAGGTCCAAGACTCGAACCTCAGTCAACTACATGGGAGTCCAGCGACATAGCCATCAAGCTAACTGCTGGTCCCGGAAGAAATAAACTTTTTTTAAAAATTCTAAATTAGTGGGGCCAGCACACAGCGAGGTGGTTAAAGCACTGGACTGCCATATGGCTGATCATGGTACGAGTCCTGGACCTGGCAGCTTGCTCTCCTTCTCTGTCGAGTGTACATGCCCTGTAGCAAATATTTAAAATAATAATGATGAAGTTAGATAAATAATTTTTAAAAATTCTCTATCAGTCCCTGTTCCTTTCTAACTTAATAAAAAAAAGTATTGTTATTCCTGGCTTAGACAAAAATGGGTAAGTAATGAAGACTTTGAAAGTTATTTTACTTTAAACCTATAGTTCTCAATTGGGGACAATTTGGTCTCCCCTTAGCAATACCTAGAGACACTTCTGATTGTCACAATCGATGCCCCTCCCTGAGGCATATCCTACCAGCATGTGGTATAAGTTAGGATGCTGCTTCGCATCTGACAATGCCCCACACACAACCAAGCATCGTGTGGTCCAACGCCTCCATAGTGCCAAGCCTGAGAACCCCCACTTTAAACTAGCCTCATACCCAGCCTGCATTCAGTGCTGGCCCCAGCCCCAGTCCCTCCTTTAAAAAAAAAAAAAATTCCACTGAGGAACAGAAGTTGCACACAAATTAGAGAAACTGCTTAGTTCTGCTAAAGGGAAATACATATTGTTTTCCTTTATGCATTGCTGACTTGTTTCAAGATTTTATTTTTTATTCCTTTAAATTAAACAAATAAACCAAGTGAAACCTAAAACCCCAGGATTCCTGTGAATTATGACTACTATTATTATTAGCATGTGGTAGCTGGCAAGCAAGAGGCATGTTTTATAATCTTATTACCCACCCCAAGTCTCTGCACCGGAGTATGACCTGCAGACAGGGGCTCGGATGCAAGAGC